TTTAATCAATTTCTGAATATTTGCTTAAATAGTGTTTTTCTGCTGCAATGGTGATTCAGTCCTCACTCAGGGAAGAAATATTTTGTTATAATTAAACCAAATAATACTAGTATTGATGGCTTGTTGCTGCTCTTTCATAGTAGTTATTTAAAATTCTGTATAATTTTTTCAAATCATAGTAGTATTAAGCTCTTTTGATTTGAATTCATGCATGCGTATATGAACCATGAAATATGAATCCACACCGTGGTATTAAGCTCTTTTGATTTGAATTACATATTTATTTGTGTAAAAACATTTATGGGGCTATGGTTTTAATCCTAAGATTAAGCTCAAGAATTTGAAATTGATGTGAAGGGTGTTGATTCTGTCCTAAAACTGTACTTTGTGAGCGTGAGAGCTACTCATTNCCGAGTTGGCATGTTGGGATGTGTTGAATACTAACTTTGGCATTTTCCATTATTTTAAAAATAGCATTTTTAAATTTCATATAAGGGACCCTACTGTGAAATGTGAGTGTCTCTCTACAATATGCAAATAGGACTTTTTTCCCTAATCTCCTTTTTACTCATTATTTGGGGAGTCATGAGAAACCATCAAGTAGAAACATAAGACATCATGTTTCTTCAAGGTGGAAACTTAAATTTCTAAACATGTATGATTTTCTATGTTTGTTTCACAGTAACTATAGATGTATTTTCATAATGTGTTACCCTAATATTTTGTAGTTCCGAGTCCTTGTTAGTATCCGTTATACATAGCTCAGGACAATTCTTAACTGGATATTTCCTCTTGTGCTTATTTTAGAACGCAACCTCGTGGATTCACCCATATGACTTTGATGGAGATGAATTTTGGAATATGGTAGATACTCCTGTCCAGTGCTTGACTCATCACCTCAAGACGGTGGAGGTAGCTGGTTTCGTAATGGAGAAGCATGTGATTCATTTTGTGGAATATTTGCTCAGGAGTTCCATGGTGTTAGAGGAAATGGTGATATTCGCGGAGAAGCAGACGTGGATCTATGGCCCAATTACTCTTATGTCTGGTAAGGTTCAGGAATTCGAGGAGAGGCTAATGAATGCCCCAAAAGCCTCTGCCTCTGCTGCAGTGGTTTTCTATTGATGGTGAACCCTTCAGAATGATTTGCCTAGATAGTGTAAAAGTCATTTACACTGTCGGTGTTTATAAGTTGAACTTATGATATTAATGTGCAAAATGAATTGTGCCGTGGACCGTTTCCTGCATTTTCTGTAATAAACTGTTGAAGGGCTTTCCTGTTGGATGTTATACAGCTTTTTCTTTAAAATATTTTCTTTTTGTGAAATTGCTTTTACATGGGGTCCTAATAGAGGAGAAAGTTATGAATGGGCTTTCTATTATTTGTTCAGTTTTCTACTCATATTAGGCCTTAAAACTTACTTAGCAATGAGAATTTAGAGTTAAACAGGCCACTCTGTTGAGTTTTGAACTGCACCTTGTAACTTAATAGGAAGAGAACACCAAAAAACTGGGTTGCTATCAAAGTGTGGTAATACTTTAGCATTAGATTTTCAAGCATTTCATCATTTCATATGTTTTTTTTATATTCTCTTAAGGTAGTTGCATCATGTGGTTAGTTGGCTAAAAATCTGGAGTTACTGGACTACTTATTAAATTCGTTATAGGTAGCTTCATCTTATATATAATTGTTGTATATATATACCTAAAATGAAAAATTTAAAAACAATACGCTGGAGTTACAATCAATGAAGAAAGGCAATTTAGAGTCTCCAAAATTTGAAGAGAGTTGGTAAACCAGATTAGATTTATTAAACACTTATGAATTTTGATTCTTGCCCTACTTTATTTAATACAATTTTATATAATGACTTTGTGGTAAATAAGGGATACTATTAGTTTTTTTCATTGACAAGAATAGTTTCTGAATTTGCTTCTTTGGACATTGCATCATTAGCCACTTTTCGGTTTCCACAATCCAAATCACAATGCTTTTGCTCAGATTTGATATTCTCTGTTTTCTGGCAAGATGGACACAGGGCAATTGTCCTAATCTTGGGAAGTTGAAGATGAAAAGGTGATGCCCATTGATCAATCTTGATTGATCTTAGCTCTTGCAACTCTTTCTTTAGTCTACTATTTTCATCATTCAAACTTTGGCACCACTTCTTCAAAAACTCACAGTCCACTTCTGTTTGCTTCAGTTTAGTCCTTTATAACACAAAAATAAATGTTATAATTAAGAATCTAAAACAGTACAAAGAGAAAAATATGAAATAGAGGTATAGTAAATTAATGAGAATTACCTTGCTCTTCTATTCTGAAACCAAACTTCTACTTGCCGTGGCTTGAGTTTTAATTTGGCTGCAAGCTCTTGTTTTTGACCCTGCATATCAATCAAAATTTAGCCTATCACTCTTAACTCATTTGTTAAAGACATTTTCCGTCAATCTTTTTTGCGAGAGTACATAAAAACAAAAACAAAAAAAATAAGAAGAAGACTGGGAGTCGTGGAGCAACAGTAAAGTTGTCTTCGTGTGACTTGTAGGTCACGAGTTTGAGCCGTTGAATCAGCCACTGATGCAAGCATCAGGGTAGACTGCCTATATCACACCCCTCGGGTGCNAACTTTCTTCAAGCAAAGTGGATTGTTCTTTGGTAAGCCTCAGCTTCTTTCTCATACCATTCTTGTTGCTTTCACTGTTAAAATTGTTGTAATTTCTTGGACTTATACTTTTAGGGGCTTGCCTTTGGCCATTTTTACAAATTTTTGAGGTGGACCCCTCAGTCTTTTTCTCCTCCATGTCACTAGAATGAAGAGGAATAGATAGATCTAAACATATAATCTTCTTATGTTCTTCTAATTGGTTCTGTTTAGGTAATAAGTCACTTGTGGCAAGTCCAAGTGTGAGTCTGGTGTCACAAATTTCATTATCATTTCCCATGGTATAGAGAGAAATGATATATGCAAAAGAGAAAAGGATGAGTGAATATTATGGTTTGATTTGAGAATACTGAAACTGTTCCTTGAACAGGATCTAATTTATATGGTAAGAGTGGGAATAAGTATGTTTTGTTTCAGAAATAATGAATGAGATTGTTAATTATGTATTTATTATACAAAGTCATTAAAGTAGAAGAAGAGAAGAGAGGAGTGAAATAATAAGCATTTTGAGTAGTAATGGCAATTATGGCATGCGTTAAAACTAGGACTCCTTTTAGGAGACCAATAACTTACTTTGAACTATGACTTTGTTTGACTTGCCCCTCTATTTCCCAGAAAAGATTTTGATATATTCAAAGGGCTTTTCATATTCCAATTACTTGCACATTATTACTCATTTGTTTCTTGCGTATAGAAACTCTAATACATTTATGATTCTCATAAATTAATGAGAAAGGATTCATAATTTCATACATTTCGTAACGATAAGAATTATTTAGGACAAAGAGAAATCATGTAAGGTATTTGGCTGGTGATGATAATATCTGGAGATTGCCGTGAAGAGGAGCAAAATAAGAGAGCATTTATTGTTTATAAGCTACAGTAATAAATCAACAAGGTCGTTGTAGTATAGTGGTGAGTATTCCCGCCTGTCACGCGGGTGACCCGGGTTTGATCCCTGGCAACGGCGTCTTTTGTTTTAATTCTCTTTTATATTTCTTCTGTATGTAAACGGGAGAGTACAGGCTTATATGTTTATTTGTATTTGTAGCTCCTACTTCTACGTTTCAAATGAACCAATTTTAGAATTGCCCCTCAAAGTGTCTTGCACATAGCTCATGACTCGTTTTCCTTTTACTTTTGACCAAAAGGAGGAGAAATTTTGCCAAACGCCTACTAGAGGAGGGACCAGAAATATGAAATATTAGTCGAAGTATAATACGCTAAACTACCCGTAATAAAGAGACTAACCGTAATAAAGAGACTAAAATTATTACTGTTTACTTGTAAAACGATACAATTGAATTTATACGTGATTTCTAGACAAATGAATTAATTTAATCCTGAAATAATAAAATAATTGAAGAATTATGCAATACTTAACCTTAGGATATAGACGAAACAACAGAAGCAACAGTTCTGGGAACAGGGTTTCCGGACACAACAACAACGAAATCAAAAAGTAAGAAGATAAGATTGTATTGAGCTTTGTATAGAATGTAGCGTAAGTTTGCCAGAAAATTCGTATCCTTTACAATGATAATTGAGCTCACTATTTATAGCTATGAAGGAAGTCATAGGATCGTGCTCTTCTTTAATGTCAATTATGAGGGACATTGATGAAGATATAACGGTGAACATAAATGCCAAATTTCCTGTAACGGGTAATTACTCTTAATGCCATGGAATATTCTCTATTAAATGTTATCAGGCGAAGAGCATTTATCACACCTTTATGAGCATTATTTGAAACAGTTGCCTTCGGTCTTTGGCCATGCCCCCGTCTTGGGTTTCGCGTGTCCCTTTTTTGGACGGCCACGTGTCCTAGCATATTTTACCCTATACATATAGTCCTCCTACTTTCCGGTGACATAACTTTGTGTTACAGGGAAGTTGGTAGAAATGCTCTTTTGGTGAAAATTACTATAATTCCCTCTGAAGGCTTCTAACGGTTGATTAGACGCATGTCTCTCCGCAGTTAATGCCCCGAACACGCGTCATCCCATGACTCAGCATAACTTTTGCCAATTATCGATGTAATCATGGCCATGAATTTAGCCGCCAAAATATTTACTTATACGTATCAACCTTCTCCCTTATACTTCATAATTTTTCAAGCTTCCCTTATCTAACTTGCATCTTGCTTTTCATCTTTTCTCTAATTCTCTTCAAACAAAAAACCTTCTCCCTCTTCCATACAATGGCTTCTTCCTCAAAGCGTACCAGTTTTTCAAAGAGCAAGAACAAGGCCGAGGACTCTGCTCCTCCAACAGTGGGCTCCATCATCCCTAGAAGTCTTAATACCACAAAAGACTTCGAAGAAAAATTTTCTACTACTAACTCTCGTACATGGGCCGTCAGTAGGTACCCTTCTTCCATACGTCCTTCTAGCATTCCTGCTATGAAGGAAGACTACCGCTGCCATGACTTGGATATTATTGCTCCTGATCTATCGGAGTGAGTCACCCTACCCAAGGAGGGTTTTACATATTTTTACACGTATCCCTTTACTTTGGGTGCGTTCTCTTTGAGCAGAGAGAGCTTGACTCTGTGATTGCGGAGTTTTGCCTCTTCTACCAAGTGTGTTTGGCACAAGTAAGTCCTTCTGTGTGGAGGATGGTTGCTTGCCTTCGACGTTTGTGCCAGGAGACTGGAGAGGAGCTAACCTTAGCTCATATGATGAATCTCTATTCTCCCAAAATCTTCTGCGGGGGAATGATAAACCTCTGCAAACGTGACCACCATGCTTTGTTGTCTAACATGGATGATGACAACAACCGTGGGTGGATGGAACGGTTCGTTGCAGCTGCCACCAACGACATCATTCCAGCAACGGCTCCATCCTTTTCGGCTACTTGGAACCGCACTCGTAAGCTCTTTGTTTAGTATTTTCTTTTACTAAATAATTTTCTATAGCCGTATTGATCCTCTATCCTTCGCTTGGTTCAACAACTCGATGGATCTCACCGGTGGTTGAAGGTTTGGATCGGTGGGTATAAAAGATCTTGGACGTTACGATGCCCGAGACTCTCTTGTGGAAAGAACTGGCCCCTAAATACGTGTGGAAAGCCAAGAATCATGGTAATTCAAACTCACCTTGTTTCAATTTTTCATGTGAAGAACTTGATTGATCCCTTCTAACCTATCTATGAAATTAGGTCTACCCGCGGGCTCTGTTGTTGTTCCCAAGGAGGATGTCTTGACTGATCATGTTGATGTAGCGAGGCTACTTCAAGAGGCGCTTACTCGAACAGGTGTCTCCGAGCCTGCTTCGGGAGCAAATGTTTCTTTACGAAGTCCCCGACCGGAAGACAAACAACCAAAGAGAAGACGCTCATCCGTAGCTAGGGAAAAGAATAAGAGGGCGAGGAATGATGTCCCCGAGTCATCTCCGGTAGTGATGGTGACTGGCCTTCCTTTCGGGCCGGTCATAGATATCGTGACGATCGACGATGATGAAGAAGCTAGTGATGAGGGAGCTTCTCTACGTAGAAGATGACGATCATCATCATTTTAACAGAATACTCGACCTGTTGAGATAGTTACACCAACTGAGGACGATGCCTCGACACTTTAGGGAGAATTTAATTTGGTAGATAATGTCAACTCTTATTTTCGGGCCCCAATTGTTGTACCCGGTACTGCGGGGCTGAGTACCGGATCACTGCCGTCTTTGGTTGGCGAGCATCCAACAACCAGCACTGCATTTGATGCAGCTACTTCTCAATATTCAACTCCATCAGCTTCATCTTTATCTTCACCAACACCAGCAACTACTACATCACTTCCATCTTCATCCACTCTTCCACCAGCAATTGCTACATCATCTCCACCGGCCGCACCTGACCATGAAGAAGGTGTTCCTCTTCCACAATCCCCAATTCATGGTAATTTGGGGCAAAATTATGATGCCCCTTATGATGATCCGCAAAGGAGGAGGAATGTTACTCTTTCGGTCTCTACCGGATGCAACTTGTTATCCCGACCGGTGGAGCTTTCTAATTATCTGAAGCCTTTGGCTTCAGAGAAAGATTGGGAAAAGATTCAGGCACTCTCGGGAGAGTATTTGTTGAACAACGCCATGCACAACGCCGCAGCGGTACGTTCCTTTCTTCCTTTATTTCTCCTTATATTTTTGGGTATGAACATATCCTGAATTTTACCCTTCTTACTTTGTAGGCCAACTTTCTTGCTTTTGAGGGCCTTCAAAGGTTGATTCGTGAAAAGGAAGAGATTACCTCCGCACTGGATTAGCTTTTGGAAGAGCAGGAGCAACATGTCGCTCACCTTTCGGAACTAGAAGCCAAAGCTGCTGAAGTTGTTGTATTGGAGGCTCGTTTGCGGCAAAGCGAGCAAGAAGTGGTAACCCTTAGCCAATAAATTGGCCCACTGAGGGTTAGATTTCATGAAGCCTTGGCCAAATGGGTTGAAGTTCATAACGCCCGTTCTTGCTGCAACCGAACGCGAGGCTGCCTGAAAGAGTGATCAACTTAAAGGCAGCCTTGAACTTCAAAAGTGAAGAGCTTGCTGCTACGGGGGCGAAATACGCCCAGCTGGAAGAGAAGTACAGGAAAACCATCGAGCATAATAGGCTTTTTAGTTCAACTGTACGTGACCTTGATATTAGCCTCAAATCTGCTAGGTCCGCCAGAGAAAACTTTTCTACCGAAGTAACCCAACTCAAAGAATAACTTAAGCGCCGAGCGACTTCCCTCGTTGTTCAGAAAACTTACGCTATGTACAGCATGAGGAGAAAAACCTTGGAAGAGGCCAAAACTGGTGTCGTTGATTTTGATGCCAAAATTGCTAAGGCATGTGAGCTTGAGTTAGTTGCTAAAAGTGGACTCCCAGTGAGGTCTGATGCACCTGGTCTTTCTGGTTCTAGTTTCGATTCCGAGTCCTCGGGAACTGAAGAAGAATCGGAGGATGATGATGCGGAAGGCCAAACATGTGAAAACGTTGAGCCATCGGTGGGTTCGTCTACTTCTCCCGGGGGCGCGGACACTTCTCTTCCTCCTGGTTCCGGAGATACTGCAGTTTAGCTTTCTTTTCTTTTGCCAATTCTTGTACATGTGCTGTTTTAATGTATTTTTGTAAATAAAAATATCTTTTGCTCAACTATTGTTTGAGTCCTCATTTCGCTTGAATATTTTCTTCCTTTTGCTTAAGAATTTTATGTAAGCCTTTCTATTTTGTGTCTTATTATGTGAAGCCTTGGGTGTATTCTCCCCGAAAGCATTTTTGGCTCTGGGCATCAGCCCTTTTTCAAGAGGGATTTGATAAGTATTTGTGCAAATTTACTTTTGCATCCTTTCGTATACGGGTTCGGGTGTATCTTTTCCCCGAAGGCGTTTTGATTCCGAGCATAAATTCTTCCGGAACAAACCCTTTAATGTGAGGTTTTTTATAAGAGAGGGTCCTCTTATATTTACGGTGCTCTTGAAGAGGACGTCTCTTGTTCATTACGGCACTAGCATTTGAAGTACTTGTTTATCTTTCAAATGACAAAGTTAATTCATCATTCAATCAAGAAACAAGATAAAAACAAAAGGATTTCATTTTATTCCTTCTATTTTCAAAAACTACATAAGCTTTTGCTATGCTGAAAAGAAATTGCCATTACTTTTGACTAACTTGTACAACTTATTTCTACAGGGCTGGCCACTCAGTCCCCGGTCCTGATGATGCAATTATATTTCCGGTTTTTATTTTCCTATCGACGTGGCAGTCATTGTTGCCATATCCCCATATCATTCCCCCCCAGTGTTCGAATGCGAAGAGTGTGAATTGGAATACTGGAAGTCTTGTATCTTCAAAGATTCTACTAATGCATTGCTAGATAATCCTTAACTTGGTAACACACTTACTTCCCCTTAGGAATTTATGCTATCGAGCGAAGGACTATCTAACAATCCTTTAGTGGTTTTACTCGTGAACGATCAGGTAACCTTTGCTCAATAGCAAACTTAACTTCCCGATGGGAATTTTCTATAGAGCAAAAAATTATTTAACCATCCCCGAGTGGATCTTTGCTTGTGTTCCTTGCTATTAAAGGTCTTATTGCTGTTGTTTTCGTAGTATCCTTTCTGTTACTACCTCATTAAAAACCTTTCCAGAAAAACCCAATTGGGACAAAAACTGAACGAAGGGAAAAAGAGTGCAGCACATACTTTCTAATAGGATAATGTTCATCAGCAATAATATCTTTTGAGGTGTGCCATGTTACAATTGCTGGGCAACTTTTCTCCATTTTGGTTTTTCAACTCGTATGAACCTTTCCCGGTGATAGCTGAAACCTGGTATGGGCCTTCCCACGTTGGACCTAGCTTCCCCGCGTTGAGATCCTAGGTGTTTTGAGTTACTTTTCTTAGGACCAAGTCTCCTACTTTGAAATAACGGAGGTTGGCTCTTCGATTATAATACCGCTCTATTCTCTGCTTTTGAGCTACCATTCTTACATGCACCAAGTCCCTGCGTTCATCAAGCAGTTCCAAGTTGACTAATATTGCTTTGTTATTTGATTCTTCATCTGCCTGGAAATATCTCAAGGTGGGTACTTCCCATACTTCCACCGAGATTAAAGCTTCTGCACCGTACACGAGGGAAAAAGAGGTTTCCCATATGCTTTACTTGGTCGTTGTTCGGTATGCCCATAGAACTCCGGGTAATTCCTCGGGCCAATTATCCTTAGCTGCTTCCAACCTTTTCTTGAGATTTTAAATAATCACTTTGTTCGTCGACTCCGCTTAACCGTTTGCTCTCGGATGATAGGGTGAAGATGTGATCCTCTTTATTTTTAAATCTTGGAGAAACTTTGTAATTTTTGCGCCGATAAATTGTGGCCCATTGTCGCATGCTATCTCTTTTGGTATTCCGCACCTGCAACCACAAGAAATCCACCATTTTGCGTTCTCCGATCTTCTAATAAGGACCTGCTTTCACCTACTTAGAAAAATAGTCAGTCAAAATTAAAAGAAATCTTACCTTTTCGGGAGCCGGTGGTAGTGGTCTGACGATGTCCATCCCCCATTTCATGAACGACCACGGGGACAGAACCGAATGTAAGGGTTCTGCCGGTTGATGCACCAGTGGTGCGTAGCGTTGACACCTATAACATTTTCGTACGAAATCTTTGGTATCTTGTTCTATGCGGGGCCAATAATATTTTGCCCTTACCAACTTTAGCACTAAGGAATCTGCGCCCGAGTGGTTGCCGCATATCCCTTCGTGAACGTCTCTCATAACATAGTTTGCTTCGGATGCCCCTAAGTATCGGCCCAGCAGGCCTTGAAAAGATTTTCTATACAATTGGCATGTCTTGAAGCTATATCCTGCTGCTTTGGCGCACAGCGCCCGGGATAGTTTGGGGTCTTCAGATAGCTTCCCGTGTTCGAGATAATCGATGATTTCATTCCTCCAGTCCCAAACTAGATTAGTCGAATTTACCTCATAGTAACCATCTGTATCCAGGACTGAGTTCATCAGTTGTACTACCGTCCTGGACTCCGATCCCTTTATTTCCGTCGATGATCCTAGGATGTGTCTGCTTCTGTGTTATCTTCCCTTGGGATATGAGTAATTGACCACTCCCGGAATCGCGCCAACAGAGCCTAAACCTTTACCATGTATTGTTGCATGCGCTCTTCTTTGCTCTCGAAGATCCCGTAGACCTGATTTACCACCAGCTGTGAATCGTATTTGATTTCGATGACCTTGGAGTCAAGTCCTCGGGCCAATTCGAGCCCTACAATCAAAGCTTCATACTCTGCTTCGTTGTTAGTTAAATGGACCGTCCTAATGGCTTGCCTTAGGGTCTCCCCCGAAGGCGTGATTAAGACTATACCGAGCCCGTACCCTTTTACGTTCGAAGCTCCATCTGTAAATAAGGTCCAAACCCCTAATGTCGATTCCGATACCATTATTGCTTCCTTGGTTGCAGAGGCAATAATCCTGGACTGAAATCGGCCACGAAGTCAGCCAAGACTTGCGACTTAATTATAGTCCTTGGTTTATATTCTATGTCGAATTCACTCTTTTCGATGGCCCATTTGGCCAATCTATCTGAGAGCTCGAGTTTATAAAGGATGTTGCGCAAAGGGAAAGTAGTCACCACAGCTATCAGGTGGCATTGGAAGTAGGACCTCAGCTTCTGAGCGGCGACTACGAGAGCTAAGGCCAGCTTATCCAAATGTGGGTAACAAGTTTCTGCTCCCGTTAAAATTTTACTAACATAATAAATGGGAGATTACGTACCTTCGTTTTCTTGGACTAAAACCGCACTTACCGCAACTTCTGTGACCGCGAGATAAACCAACAACGTTTCACCTTATTTTGGTTTTGAAAGCAATGGAGGGCTTAACAAGTATTTTTTTTAAATCTCTCAAAGCCTGCTGGCACTCCGGGGTTCATTCGAAATTATTTTTCTTTTTGAGCAGTGCGAAGAAACGATGACACTTTTCTGATGGCTGGGAAATGAACCTGCTCAAAGCTGTCAATCTCCCCGTAAGCCTTTGGACTTCCTTCACGTTTGATAGTTGGTCCGATATGTCTTCTATGGCCTTGATCTTATCGAGGTTTACCTCAATTCCCCTTTGTGATACCAGAAATCCTAGAAACTTACCAGAGCTGACCCCGAACGCGCATTTCTCGGGATTAAGTTTCATATGTTTAAGATGATAACTTGCATTTAAAGACTTAACGAGCATATCGTCTATATAAACTTTCATAGTTTTTCCTATTTTATTTTCAAACATCTTGTTCACGAGTCGTTGGTAAGTGGCTCCGGCATTTTTCAACCTGAAGGGCATCACATTATAGCAATATATATCGAAATTTGTTATAAACGAAGTTTTTTCCTGATCCTCCGGGTTCATCTTAATTTGGTTGTACCTGGAATAAGCATCGAGGAAACTCATTAACTTGTGCCCGACCGTGGCATCAATCATTTGATCGATGTTTGGCAATGGGAATGAGTCTTTCTGGCACGCCTTGTTAAGATCTCTATAATCTATATATGTGAAACCTATTGTTCTTATTAGGAACTACTACTACATTGGCTAGCTAATCTGGATATCTTACCTCTCGGATTGAACTGATATTAAATAAGTGGGTTACCTCTTCTTTGACGAATTTATTCCTCGTTTCGGCAATCAAGCGTTTCTTTTGTCTTACCAGAGGTATGCTGGGATCTAAGCTTAAGTTGTGTACGACTACCTCTATCGGGATGCCTGTCATATCCTTATGCCACCATGCAAAACAATCGGCATTAGATTTAAGGAATTTAATAAAGTTGGACTTGAGTTCTGGGTGTATTCCTATCCCCAAGTAGAATTTTATTTCTAGGAATTCTTCGAACAATGCCACCTTGCTCCAGCTCTTCAGCTGTGGACTTTGTTGCATCGGTCTCTTCTGGAACTTGAAAGTATCTCGGCACCTGATAATATTCCGACGCCTCTGCCCCCGGGCTAACGTCATCTAGTTTGGGAGTAGGTGTTGGTCCCTGTAATTGCTATGCCATGTGTTTCTTTCCTTTGCTACTGGAGACCAAAATTGTATTCATCTCCCTTGTCGCCGGTTGATCACCCCTTATCTGCTTAATTCCTTCGGACGTTGGAAACTTCAGCAATTGGTGATATGTTAATGGTACAACTTTCATCTCGTGCAACCATGGCCTTCCCAGAATGATGTTGTGTCCCATATCACCATCTACTACTTCAAAAAGAGTTGTTTTCATTACTCCTTCAGCGTTCGTGAGTAATAAAATTTCTCCTCGGGTTGTCACACTTGAGGTTGAATCCGACGAGGAGTTTTGTGGCCAGAATAATGCTTCTGGTGAGTTTAGCTTACTCCAATACTCTCCATTGTATGACAATAGTTGAACTTCCTGGATCCACTAGAACACGTTTAATCTTAAAATCTAGCATATTTAAATAACTTACCAGTGCATCGTTGTGTGGTAGCAGCAATTCGTCTGCGTCCTCCTCCATAAAAGCGATATCGTCTTCCCGAAGCCTTTTGCTATGCATTATTGATACTTTCATCTTCTTTGCTACTGAAAAGGTGACCCCGTTAATCTCGTTCCTTACATAGATCATGTTGATTGTTTGACGGGGGGATCTTCTCCTGCTTTCGAGGGTTCTGCATTGTCTCGGTTACGACTATAATTGTTCTTAGCTCGGTCACTTCTCTGAGGTGACCATTCTTCAATAATGTTGTCACTTCTTCTCGGAGTTGTCGACAGTCCCCCGTCTGGTGGTCATTCGTCCCGTGGTATTCACACCACAAGTTGGGATCCCTCTGGCTGGGATCAGATCTCAACGGTTTCGAGAATCGTGCTTCTTTGATGTTTCTCATGGCCGACACCAACTCCATTATACTAGCGTTGAAGTTGTATTCCGATAACTTGGGGTAAGAAGGATCCCGCGATCCTGACACTTCGTTATCCTTTAGTGATCGATTGTTCCGACCGCGATCAAACCTCCTGTCAACAGCAAACATGCCCGTTGTGATCTGTGCCAAACCCACACCACAATTGAGTAGCGAGGCGGTCGACGCAATAATAATCCCAACAAAGGTCGGGATCGAATCCACAGGGAGTTAGAATATGGGATTAGGTGTATATCTAAGTTAATAGCAAGTTTTGGCTTTAATTGCACTTCCACAAACTTGATTGGTTTTTCTACTTCTAACTTTACTCTAAAGATTGCAATAATTGAAACTAAGGACAATGTTTTTGTTGTTGTTTTTCAAATGTTTAAAGAGACTAGGGTAGTGACTTCTACCTAGGTGGATATCTAACGGGTAGAAAAATCTAGGGCAAGCTTGATTAGTTGGGATTATAATATAGCTATCACACCAGGGTACTCACTCCATACCTCTCGGTAGTTTGAGTGATTTTGCCCAATTTGGCTTTTTCAAGTCCAAATGGGTATTCATGCAAATCAAGTGATATTAGCTCAAGTTGGGTATTACTATCTCTAGGTTTAACCCTTTAATTGGGGCTATCAATTTCTTGAGTTCACCCCAATTCCTTGTTAAGCCTAGTTTTTCTAGACTTAGTCCCTCTTTCTTAAGTATAGACTAAGTCATAAATGCATAAATCAATATTTACAACCATTAATTCTTGAGTTCTAGCAAGAACTAGGCTAAATATCACTAACCTATTCACATTCAAGCCCTAAAATGAAATACCCACACTAGGGTTGGGTCACAACCCTAACTATGGGTTTAGCTACTCATGAAAATAACAGAAATTAAAGATGAAATGAAGATAAAATCTATAATATTAATTTATGGAACGAAAATCTAATATTAAGAAGTGAATCTAGTACAAAAAAAATTCCGAAAACAGTAAAACCAGCCGTCACAGGTGCTTATACAAAACATAACATAACCTGACATACCCTAAAAATGATAAAAAGTTTTATTTAAACTAAGCTGAAAATATCTGACAAAAATACCCCTCTGTAGGTTGTGCGGCCGCGTAATTCTGAGTGCGGCCGCACTCTTGCTTTCGCGGCCGCATAATTCTGATGCGGGACGCGTTCTTCTCTTTTGGATCTGGGTTGAGCTGAACTTTCGTGGACCGCATAATTCTAAGAGCGGCCGCGCTCCAGATTATGCGGCCGCATAAAAGTGATGTGGTCCGCGTTCTTGAGTGAAATCAACTCTCTGATTCTTCATCTTGCGGATCGCATAATTTCGATCGCGGCCGCACAAGGGACTTCTGCGGCCGTACAATTCTGGTGCGGTCCGCACTTCTCTCTTTTGCTCAAATTGTCAGCTCTCTGAATCTCAGTCATCGCGGACCGCGTAATTTCGATTGCGTCCGCACAAGGACTTATGCGGCCGCACATTTCTGGTGCGGGTTCGCGCTCATCACTTGGTCCAAAATTACACTCTCTGGATCTCCCTCTTGCGGACCACATAATTTTGATCGCGGCCGCACATTATTTGTGCGGTCCGCGCTTTAGACCTCTTTGCCCAGCCTTGGTTTTGTTAAACTTTTGACTCCTTTGTGAGTTGATTTTGATTCCTTTGGCTCATTTTGAACAATCCCTGCAAGCAAGAATATTTTATTAGTTTTCGGGAATACCTTGAAGCATTTTTGGCCTAAAACACAAGTAAAAGAGAGCAAATAATAGGTTAAAATCCCTACTTATAACACCATCCGGAAACCCCTGTTGCGGCCTTCGGTCCGTTGGTAGGGCAAAAATCGGGCCCTCGAAGTCCGCCTGTCCGCATCATAATCATCCTTTTATTTTCTCTCCTCTTTTCTCGTCCTTTGGTCGACGATGGAAAACCAACCTAATCATCTTCGATCCTTAGTTTTGATTCGTACCGGTTGTGGACATCCGCCCAGGTTGTTACTTGAAACTCGAGTAAGCTTTCTTTCAATTTTCGGGAAGCGTCTGAACTCCTCGGATTCAATCCCTTGGTGAATACTTCAGCCGCCCATTCATCTGGGACAACCGTGAGCAACACTCTCTCCTTCTGGAATCGGGTAATGAACTCTCGTAGTAGCTCAGATTCTCTATGCGCAATCCTGAATATGTCAGCCTTTTGGGCATGTACTTTTATAGCTCCGGCATGAACCTTGATGAAAGAATCTGTGAGCATTTCAAAGGAGTCTATGCAATGCTCAGGTAACAGCGAATACCACGTCAAGGCTCCCCTCGTGAGGGTTTCTCCAAATTTTTTTAGCAATACAGATTCAATTTTGTGAGGAGCTAAATCATTTCCCTTTACCGTCGTTGTGTAGGTGGTAATATGCTCCTGGGGGTCTGAAGTTCCGTCATACTTTGTCACTTCAGGCATTTTGAACCGCTTCGAGATTAACTCTCGTGTCATACTTGGCTTGTATGGAAATTGAGTATACTTTTTCGAATCCGGACCTTTCAGCACTGGTGGCGCCCCCGGGATCTGGTCCATGCGAGCGTTCACTTCCCTCATAAACCGTAAAAGTTTATTCTTGAAAGGATCATTCTCGTTGTTGAGGCCGGATCCGTTCCCCCTACCCCATCGGAGCCAATTTCACCCCTGGGGGTGTTGCTGTCGACCCTCTGCGTCGTTTGATTCGTGGGAACCCCGGGAGGAACTGGATCTCGTTTGTTTGCATTGTTTGAAGCTCCCGACGGCACTTGCTTCAATTCCGTCATAACCTTATCCTGTCACGTGAGGTGGTCTAGAATGATCGCTTGTTACTCTTACAAGACCCTTATTGCGTCAACTACATAATCCTCATTAGTATCATCGGGAGTGGTCTCCCGAACATCTCGAGAATATTGCCTATCATGCACCGCTGTAGCGACATTCCCCTCATTATGGGTGTCACTGATTGAGTCCTCGAAATGAGGCTGATCCCCTCGAATCTCGGGGTTATGCATGTCGTTAACAATGTTATCTGTCATTTCTTATGATTTTTTCTAAGACAAAATAATCAAAACATGTTAGTAAATAAAGGCAATGATCAATTTAATTACATGGCTGTCTAGGCCCCACGGTGGGTGCCAAACTGTTTACCCGTAAAATGGTACAGTTGAATTTATACGTGATTTCTAGATAAATGAATTAATTTGAGCCTAAAATAATAAAATAATTAAAGAATTATGCAATACTTAGCCTTAGGATATAGACGAAACAGTAGAAGCAACAGTTTCGGGAACAGGGTTTCCGGGTACAACAACAACGAAATCAAAAAGTAAGAAGATAAGATTGTATTGATCTTTGTATAGAATGTAGCGTAAGTTTGCTAGAAAATTCGTGTCTTTTACAATGACAATTGAGCTCACTATTTATAGCTATGAGGAAATCCTAGGATCGTGCCCTTTTTAATGTCAATTATGAGGGACATTGATGAAGATGTAACGGTGAACATAAATATCAAATTCCCTGTAATGGATAATTGTTCTTAATGCCATAAAATATTCTCTATTACATGCTATCGGGCGAAGAGTATTTATCATATCTTTATGAGCGTTATTCGAAATAGTTGCCTTCGGTCTTTGGCCATCCCCGTCTTGGGTTTCACGTGTCCCTTTTTTGGACGGCCACGTGTCATAGCATATTTTACCCTATACAATTAATTTCTACAACTTAGCAACTTCGCATATTCTAAAAGCAAAAAAAAAAAAAAAAAAAAA